TGATGTTCGGAGTTTATTGTTTCTTGAAATTTCTTTATTGGAATGTTGAATGAAGAAAGAATATCTTCATAATCATTACTGTTATTTATTGTATATCGTACAGTACTTGTGCTAGATGGTTTCCAAGTGGTAACGGGTGGTGCTTTAGTTGTAGTAGACGTTGTAGTCGAAGGCATAGTAGTCGTAATTGTTGTAGTAGTTGTTGGTACAGTCGTAGACATCGTCGATGGACGTAACGTAGTTGGTTTCATGGTGGTGCTGACAGTAGTAGTACTAGTCATCGTCGTCGTTGTAGTACTTGTTTTTGGGATATATGTTTTTCTAACAGGATAATATAAAGTAGTTTCTTGATGATAAGGCCTGTGATTGTATGTGCTATAGCTATTCGAGCCACTTTGAACCTTCGTGTTCGCATACGAACTCGAAATCAATGGATACTTATCTTTGTTATACTTATCGGAGGAATATCGAACGGGAAGATTGAGAAAGTCATGAAAACTCGGTGAATTCGGATTTATCTCGTTCGGACTAACGTCGTCGGGATCCTTGTTCTCGATTTTCTTTTTCTTCGCGTGCAAATCAGCATCTTCTTCCGATGACATTTCGCTTGTTTCCTTATCCTTGTCATTATCATCATATTCCTCGTAACGATCAGTGTAATTTAAGATTTTCACCGCTGGTGCTTTCTCGTAATCAATTTTTCCGGTAATGGGATCTTTTTCTAAAGAAAAAGGTCTCCCACCGTTGAAAGCGAAGGAAAATGGTGGCCCATATCGTGGACCTTCATCGTCCTTGGCCAGAGAGAAAGAACCGACAGTGCTTTCTTCGGCATCGAGATCAAGGTCAAGGGCGTCCAGTAAAGTCGATCTTCCCAAAGATGCATACTCGCGCTCGGCCGTCTGAGTTTTCGTTTTCGGATCATTGTTGTCCAGATGACCACCCATCAGATATTCGTTAACCACTTTACTAGCACTAGCTAGTGTGATTAATAATATCAACAGGATGGCATGCATCTTTTCCGTAGATATCTGAAACGATTTGATAGAAATACTAATTAACAAACGATTTGCTTCATTAACTCAATACAAATCTTTTTATATCTTATTTCTATTTTGTAAAACGGAAACTATTTAATCGTAAGCTATTATTAAATTTGAAGGATGTGTTACACGTTTCATCCTATTTAAATCCTTTTTTTTAACTTCTTTCCTTCCCAACTAGCGGGATCTTTAAGTAGAAGCGTAGGAAAAGTAATAAGGAACTGACCGTCCTTCGTGATCTACATTTACAACCTATCGGACGTGTACGTATGTAGATCTTATATTCATTTTATAGTATGTACATATGCATATACCGGATTTGTCGTGACATTTAATTGCGTTACTGTAAAAATGCGTCACCGTTGCCTTGTATATATCATCGGATGTTCTAATGAATATGAATAAAGTTTCAAACGGCTATTAACGACGGCTAATAATACGTAAAGTAAGGATGATAAAAAGAGAAAACAAGTAGAGCTAACTCGAAATAATTTATAAATAACTCGAAAAAAAATAAATAAAAATAGAATATTAAAGGAACGATCATTTTAATAAGAATTTCTTTTTCGGGCAACGCATTTAAATTCCAAACTTTAATTACATTTCTTGCAATGTAACCGCAAGCACACTATCGGTTGATAGAAAAGAAAAAAGGCTACGAGTAAACGAGCATCGCGTCTCACGTCGAACGGAATCGCGTTCCAGCGGCTAACGGGTTTCGTATTCTTTTCCCGTTCTTCTTTCTTCTCTTTCATTGCTCTTACACGACATTCTACTAGGTTTTGTTGAGACTACGGCACACACTAGCCAACAACATCAGCTTCGGGTACCGTATTTGGCATTAGCATTTCGTTACTCGCACTTTCGAGCAGGCTTTCGATACCAGGAATGAAACATCCGAAAGGAATACTATTTACTATGCATATCTACTGTGAATTCGATTGATCATTTTTTTAAATGCTACTAATTTGTCGATCTTTAAATTTAATAAAAAGCACAAAACTATATGCATATTATTATCAATATTTTTTATATTATAATATAATATTTAATTGTATATATGTAGAGAATTTTATTTTATTGTTATATATAATATTTATCTTTTTATAATTTTTTTTACTATGCCATTATTATCATTAATTTATATGTACAAATTTATTACCGATTCGATATTGTTCGTTTGCGTTATTTTAATGATGACGTTCCCTGGTATGACCGCGAGAAAAATGAGAGCGTTGACCGTAAAAGATAAACGCAGGTCGACGAACGGGTATTTATGTGGGCGGTGGAAAGACCTCGGATTATTTCGATGAGCTCTAAAATCGTTCAAGGTCTTTTTCTGTCTTGGACCATGAGCCTGACCGTGACCCTATCTTAGCATAACGTAACTCGAATCGACCTACTTCCTCAGAAGTTTTGGCTGTTCCATCCTTGAATGCGGTTTTGAGTACGATGACATGAATCATCGATATCCGTTCAACCTTATCAACGCGTACTAAATAGATATTTCCGTGTATAAAAGAATCATACGTGCTACTTTCTAATTAACTCCGTGTCTCTCTACATGAATTTTAATTAATTTTTTTTTTTTAATATAAATTTTCTAATATATAAAGTATTTCCTCGCGCGTGATTTTTTCTCAAGTCATAAAATAATCTATATTAATTTTTTTTTTCTTTCTAATATTGATCCGTAAAAATCCAGAACAAATCACACCTGTGATATATACGTTAGTATAGTTTAATAAACCCGATAAGAAAACATTAGAAAGAAAAGATCCCTTCTACGTACGTAGCCCACATAAATTATTTCGAGTTAACCACTTTTCTTTTCTTATAAGCGATAGGATGTCAACAGCATATAATTAAATCTTTTACGAACTCTAACGTTTTATATATAAAACGTTACTTATAGATAAAAGAATCTTCGTCAATGTATATCTACTTAATGTTATCACTTTGATTTTTCAATAAAATTTATATCATTAAATTGAATTTCAATTGTTCAAATTCTTAAAATTTCTCATAAATTATCATATTTACCTGATAAATCAAAGAACGAGGGTAGATGAACGCTGTTAGATCACCAACGAGAATGAACTGGTCAATTATTCACGTTCCTTCCAATGATTCATAAGTGAACGAGCTAACACGTGCTTGATTCTCGTACGAATCCTAAGTTGGGCGATTTTCTTCAATATATTACGCGAAATAAAGAGAGGAAAAGAGAAAGAGAGAGAGAGAGAGAGAGAGAGAGAGAGAGAGAGAAAAAGAAAGAGAGCGAGAAAGAGAAAGAGAAAGAGAAAAAGAATAAAAAGGAACTCGATGGATGATCGATCGCGATCTCGAGGGACTTGTCCCTCTTCCTCCTTTAACGCAAAAGCGAGAGCTGGCCGCTCTGGAAAGATGCGACGCTCGCCTTTAAGGATCAAACACTCGCAATTCACGGAAACTCTCTCTCTACGGTCCGCGAGAAGGTCACGCGTCGACTGAAGAGGATAGTCATTATGATGGTAGCAGGAAGACGATGAGGCCACCGATGGTAACACGAGGACGAAACTGTATAAGAGAAGGTGGTGGAGGAGAAGAAAGAAGAGTAGAAAGAGGTGGAAGAGGAAAAGGTGCCCGAAGAAAGCGACGCTCCTCACGTTGATGTTCATAAAGGGAAGCCTCGCAATACGAATGAGTTTCTTGTTCCTGATTTAATTGTTGACTCAAAGACCCGATACGCATCTTCAATTCTACCATTTATAAATTTCAATATATTCCAATAATCCATATTTTTTTTTTTATATATATATATAGATATCTTCTTCGAAAGTATATCTCACAATTTTCTTTTATTTAAATATATAATTCGAAATTTTTTAGGTTTTAGATATTACCACTGATTTTCATCTATCACTGATCTATCACTGATGTTTTGCTTCTTAAAAATCGTAGAGAAAAAAATTTTTAAGGATTAATGTTTTTTTTTAATATAATCATAAATTAATAAAATTTTCTTTTATATAAAACCGATGATTATATTAGAATACAGAGAGAAATAATAAAATGAAAGGAATAATAAAGTAGGAAGTAGTTTTTATTCCATGAAAATCTGATTATAGATATCATCGTGCTAAGTAACTTTTCCTCTTCGCAGAAAAATACTATAAGCAGAGAGGAAGAGCTGAAAGAGCCAAGTTGGACCAAACTAATGGACGTGGTATGGACTCGGCGGAACGGTACGCGGAACAGTTAGACGACGACCTACATTACAGAAACAACTCAGGGGCGAACAACGTGCTAGTTTCTTCAACATTAAATGTGAAAAATACATCGATGTGAGTTCTACCCCCTTTCTTGCAATACAATCCTATGGTTATTTAAAATTCAGGCAAATCAAACAATTGTTAAATAAGCATATTTTTTAACTAAAATGCAGGTGTTGCAATAAGTTCTTACTTTCTGAAATCGCAAAAAGTATAAAAGATAAGTATCTTCCAAACAAACTGAAATATTGAAAATTTTTGTTTAGATGTTTGTTTCGTAACGATATCAAATATGTGTCACGCCTGAATACACTATATACTGAATACGCGTCACTATAATATTGCCTATCAAAAGGATCAAAAAATTGATCAATAATAAATGACACTTGCGATCTGCGATCGCTATTATCGACGAAATATAAATTGTCTGGTTACACGCGCGATATTTAAAATATCTATATAATTATATACTCATAAATAAATAATAATTGTAAATTAAACAATAAAAAGCATATTATATAAACATTATAATATATTTCATCAAATATTTTAAAAATTATTAAAAATATCTTTTCAGAAATTATTAAAAATAAAGTTAAATCTGTTTAGAATATAATAAATACAATTTAACCTAAAACTTTTGATATTTTTAGTTGATATATAAACATAATAGATTAAAATATATTGGGTTGGCAACTAAGTGATTGTCGGATTTCAAATAAGAAGAAAACGACAAAATCCACAATCACTTAGTTGCCAACCCAATAGATATAAATGTACTTTATCTTTGATTAATTAAATAGACCGAAACCTAGATCTTCCTGGTCACTTTCGTCTGAATATTTATCTTCGTATTTATTTAGACATTTCTTACTCACGTTGACTGAAATACTTTTCGTTGATTCTATTTCTAAAAATTTTTTAATAATACAATCATATCCATTAAATTTCATAATATCTTTCAACGTATATCCTTGTCTATTACAAATAGTCGTAACTGTTTTAAATTCGTTACAATCTAAATTCTGTAATTTATTAATAATTTCAATTTTTCCATATTTTGCATCTTCAAATAATTCCTGTACAAATTTTAAATAATCTATAATATCTTTGTCCATAGAAAGATCCATTGGTATTTTGCCTTCTTTATTTTTTTCATTATAGATTGCACCATGACTCAATAAAAGTTTTACAAGATCGATAAAATTGTTCTTTGCAGCCATATGAAGAGCAGTCATGCCATTTGTTGTTTTTAAATTAATGAACTCATTTAAAATTCTAGTTTTCTCCGCATTTGTAAGCAAAATTGCAATTATATCTTTCATACCCTTGAAAGTAGCAAAATGTAACGTTGTGTTTTTTGTATTATTAATTTGAGTAAAATCAGCTTTTTGATTTAATAGCAACATTGTAATATCTGTATGATCATGACAAATGGCAACATGTAAAAGACTATTACCATTATTCTCTTTAGCATTAATAAGTTCTTTTTGTATTTGAATACATTTAGCAACTTCTGTTTCATCTCCTACTTTTACATACTCAAATATTTTTTCTGATAATTGAAGTATGCTTTTAATTTTATCATTAGTAGTAAGTTTTATTGGTGTTTCAAATTGTAAAGTTTCGGCATTATATATTGCACCATTATCCAATAAATATTTAACTATGCTCTCATTTCCTCTTAGTGCAGCATAATGTAAAGGCATCCAATTATTTATATTTTGAGCATTTACGAATTTATGTTTAGTAATAAAATTAACATTTCCTCTATATCGTTGATTTTTAAACAAGTTTTTCACTATACTTTCATGACCATATTGTGCCATATAATGTAATACATTTGTTTTAAGATTATCTAATGGAATATTTAACAATTTAACTCCACCAAAAAGTAAAAATTCTATACTTTTCAAGGATGGATTTTCATTCACAGCAGCAAACAGTTTGTTTTTATAAGTGATTATATCTGTAAATATTCTATTATTTAAATCTATTGGTTTTTTATTTTCAATGTTAGTAGCGGAAATATTTGCGCCATTTTCAATCAATATCTTTGCTGTAAAATTATTATATGTTGTACCACACAAATGCAATGGCGTATCACCATTATTATCAGTAATGTCAATATTTATACCTTTCTCTATCAAAAAATATATCAAATTTGATAAATCGGTCAAATTTATATCGTTGTATGTATTCATTTCAATAATACTATGTAATATGGATTTTCCATCTTTTGTAACTGCTTTAATATTAGCACCTTGTTCTATCAAATATTCTGCTATAATGACATTTTTGACAAAGTGCAATGGTGTATACCCTTCATAATTAGGAATATTTACATCTACACCTTTTTCCACTAAATATTCCACTATAGGAAAATTAAAAGCTGTATGTAAAGGTGTGTTTCCTTCACTGTTTTTAGCATTTATATCAGCACCATTTTTCACAAGGAACTTTACTATAGAAAGATGATTAGCATAATGTAATGGTGTGCTATTAAATTTATCTGTAATATTTACATTAGCTCCTTTATCTATAAGAAGTTTTACCACAGATAAATCGCGTACTAAATGCAATGGTGCTTTTAAATTATCATGGCTATCAATAACACTATTAACATCTGTTCCCAATTCTATTAATAAAACTTGTAATCTTATGTCACGGCAATAGATAGCCCAATATAATGGACTACCACCACCTTTATTGTTAAGATCTGCACCATTTTTAACAAAAAATGTTACCATTTCTGAAGTTCCATTATGTTTTACTAATAAACAAAGAGGTGTTCTACCATCACGTTCAGTAGCATTAATATCTGCTCCATTTGTTATAAGAAATTTCATTAATTCATCTGAATCCCAATTTCGAGAAGCCCAATGTAAAAGTGTACCTCCTAATCTCTGTCGAGCATAATGGGTATTTATATAAATTCTGTTTATGTTAGCACCTTTTTCTACTAAAAGTTTAGCTATTTTGAAATTTTTATCATAGAGAGCACATTGTAGTGGTGTATAGCCGAATACATTTTCTGCATCAATTTCTGCACCATTATTAATGAGAAATTCTGTAATTTCAAAATAAACTGGACATGATACAGCAAAATGTAATGGTGTACTATTTCTGGAAGTACGTGTGTTTATGTCAGCTCCCATTTTGCATAAAAATATAACAATTTCCAATTGTCCTTGTTTGACTGCTATAATTAAAGGTGTTTCATCCTCATTTATTTTTAAATTAATATTAATTCCTTTATTAATTAGCTGTTTTAACAGTTCAAGCATACCATTCTTGATGACATAGCGTAATACTTTTTCTTCATTATTATTATTAAATATAACAGAAGTATCTTTCTCTACTAATAATGTAACTATATTTTCATTACTTTCTACCATGGCATATTCTACAAGTGGTATATTTTGATTTTCATAGTAAACTTTAATATTAACATCAGCACCTTTCTGTATAAGTTCTTCTATGATCTTCGTAGATTCCTTTTTTATAGCTATTTGCAAAGGAAACTTACCACTATTATTACAAGTATTAATATTAGCTCCTTTAGAAATCAAATCCATAACTTTACATAAATCATTCTTTTGAATAGCATCACATAAATCATTAGATAGATCATTCTCCATTTTCTCTATTATAGAGTATAAATAGAAACTGAATAAATAAAATAAACTGAAACAAAATAAAATCATATGTTAAATATTTTGATGAATTTACAAAAAATATGTAATGTAAAAAAATGTTATTGAACTCTTTAAATTGTATAAAAATTAGATAATATTTAAAAATGAGGCATATTAATGCTTTACTAACAAATATTGAAATAAATAAAGGATATACATAAATATTATTTACTTTTTTCTTTCTTTCTCTTTATATATATATATATATATATATATATATATATATATATATATATATAAATATTTATATATATATATATAAATTTAATTTAAATATATATACATAATTTAAGAATATATATAATATATATATATATATATATATATATATATATATATATATGTGTGTGTATATGTATGTATATGTATAATACATATGTATATATAAACTCATAACATTGTGCAGGAAAGTTTAATATTGATTTAATATATATATATATATGTGTATATGTATGTATATGTATAATACATATGTATATATAAACTCATAACATTGTGCAGGAAAGTTTAATATTGATTAAATTCGAAATAACTTCTAATTTTTTTTTTATCTACATACATATATATACGGCATTGCTCATCATGTTGCAATCAAAATATGAGTTCATCGGAACTAACTCTTCATAGACATGATATAATATTGACTATTTATTTCACATACATTTAAAAAATTAAAAAACAAGTATAAAACAAGGTCCAACGTCAAATCATATTGTTTAATATAATTTTTTATTATTTGATATCAATATTTCAAACCAATTCAAGATACCTTCATAATCGATTCATAATCAATGACAATATAATATATTTAACCAAATTCGAATTAAATGTAATTTAAATTTGTTTTCTAAATTATATATATCACTTATCGTATATTTTTTAATCATGTTTTTAAAAATAGATTAAACATTAAACATAGAATTGAAACGGTTTTAACAAACAAAAGAAATTGCAAGATAAACAATATTTACGTCGTACATTAAACGAGCTGTTATTTTCCTCTGTTGCTATGCGATTGATCCAACTTGTTAGAAATTTCACTTTATTACTCCGTGATACACTCACGAAATTGTATATTACAATGAATCTACAATGAACTAACCTCCCGTTTTATATCTTGCTATTAATGATTGTACAATATTACGTTATATTATGAACGATCACATTTCACATATAAAGTACATATATATTAAACGTATATAGTTATATGATTTTTATGTGTATTTACTTTACAATATACTAAACGTCAAGCAATTGAACTTAGAAAAAATCGTCATGTAATTGACAATAAAAACGTAAAGTAAGATAACAATTAAACAAGTGGAAATATATGGTAAAAATGATATTTAACACAATTCGAAAAATCTTACATTAAAAGGTAGATATTCATAAATTATTTTTTATGTTCATATTAACTATTACGCATGCGTATTAAAGCAACAGTCAAGTATTTTCGGTTCTGCGAGGTTTTCAAGTGGAATTGGCAAATCCGACAGTCATTGAAGATTAGCCATTTGTGTACGTACGTTAGAACTCAATGTGCATAAATAAAAAGAAAAGATACACATAAGTTTTATATTTTAAGATATCCAATCTTGTAAATCTTTTAGCTGTTGTCACGAATTGTGTAAAAAGTATTGAGATGATTCTTCGAACAAGTATTTTTATCGCCTTTTTGATTTTAACGATCGAGGCAAAAAAGTACAATCACAACGGCGATAAGTATCGACACTGGCAAGAATTCGAAGAATTTCTCGAATGGAAGAAAATGAAAGAACAGAAAGAAATAGAAGGAAAATGGTCGATCGATTTTACTGATAATTCATCGGATTCAATGAAAAAATATGGGAAAGAAGATAGACGATCACAAGATCCACCTCCGGTTGAAGATGCTGTTTTAATGGCAAGATATATTGTTAATCAAGCTGGTACGTATGACGTTTATGCACAATAAATTTTAACTTTGATCGTTTTTTAAGTTGAAATAATATTCATTTTTTCCAATATATGATGAATCAACAAGATTGTGACTTGAATGATCTATTTATATCATGTAACTAAATTTATCTTTAAATATCATAATTACTGTTGCATTTGATTAATTAAATTCTACACTATTTTTACAAGGATTTCGTAGTTTTTTGCAATTAAATTTCAACGAAATTACCTTTTTTTTTTTTTTTTTTATAAAAATACTGACTATTTTCCCAATTATATAAGATCAAACAGAGAATGTATTTATCGACACTATTTGAACTGTTGATTATTCCCGCTTATTTTTAATATTGACATAGTTCGTAAAGAGTGAGCATAGATATAAAAACTAAACACATGATCGTACGTTATTAGAATTAATCTTGGTTCCGTGCATATGTTGCTATTACCTCAAATATGCATAAAAAATATAAATATTGAACATATGTTTATTCTTATTTCTGGATTGTTATGAAAAACACATATGTGATTGATAATTATCTTCACTATTTGTTTTTACGAGTCCAAACAAACATGTCTAAATTTTTTATAAATGTTCGTAAGCTTATTAGAATTCAAAAGAATCGATCTACGACATAGCATAATTAAACGTGAATTTCACAAGACATTCATTTTTATGTTTCACGATTTTAAAATTAATATGCTTATAGATTGGACCTCTGTGGCGACTATAAGTACACGACAAGAGATTGAAACATTTCCAACAGTTAATTTAGTTTCCTTTTCCGATGGTCCATTAGGTAATGGGTCTGGAATACCTTATCTTTATCTCACACCTTTGGATTTCACATCACAAGATCTAACTGTATGTATCAATAAATATAATATTGAAAATATATTTATAATAGAATATGTTAATATGAAATTCTATATAAGACGTATTATTCTTTCTGATATCTGGCTAAATGATAAGGTACCATTATCAAACGTTCTTTTATCTTCTATTCTTATAAATTTTATATAATCCTTTCATGTATAAAATAAGATATATATACATGACAAGTATTAATCAAATATACTATTCTGATTACAGAAAGATAATCGAGCTACTCTTTTCATGACTTTAGCTCAAGAAAATTATTGTAGAGAAAAAATATGGGATCCAATGGATCCACGCTGTGCAAGGGTCATACTTACTGGAAAGATAAAAGCAGTTAATAAAGAATAAATTAAATAATTTTAACAAAGAATTTATGTAAAATAAATATTTAATATTACGATATTATAATATTTACAGATAAAAAATGATAGTCCTGAGATGGAATTAGCTAAAAGTGCTGTGTTTGGACGTCATCCTGCTTTGGAAAACATGCCCGCAGGTACAGTTAATAATTAATCTATGTAATATAGTAATTATTAATCTATGTGATTGTATATAGGTTAATATCTGCAGAAATATTATCAAAATATACTTTTCAGATCACCATTTCTATTTTGCCAAATTGAAAATGATGTCTATCGCAGTTTTGGATACATTTGGTGGTCCAAAATATGTCAGTGTAAAGGATTACTTACATCCACCAACACCAAATGTCACTGAAGAATTCTATAAACGTATTCATAAACAGCAACAAGATTATGCGAGTGATTCTCAAGAGGCATATAATATGAAACCAATGACAAATTTTCTAAATCCAATTGTCCGTAATATTTAAATATCGTATTACTAACTAAGCAAAGTCAATTTATATATTCACAGTAAATTTACATTACAAAATTTCATTGTATTTATATTTTTTGAAATACTTGTATCACATTTTTTATAATGTTTACACATGTAATGATTACTATACTATGGACTGTGATACAAATTGATAATACCTAATGTAAATATTTAATAGAATAATATTTTTGATGCTTTACCAAATATATAAATTAAATTATTTTCTCAAAAACTCAAAATAGTTATAAAATTATTTTATGTATGTTAAAATACATTAAAAACTATTTACAGTTTAAGAATACTATCTAATTATTTTTAAATGGAATGAAAATAAATAGCATTTATTGGATACATTTTTTAATATAATATACAGTTAATGAAATAGATAAAAATATATTATCTTTAATATAAGATAATTCTTGAAAATATGTTAATTCAGACAAATACAATGAACTTGATATTATTGCTATTTCAAAATTCAGCAAACGCAGCAGCATTATCATCATTTGTCACAGTTTTTGTCTTACAACTTTTTGGAGTCGTTATTCTAATCGTAAAAATATCATATACGATTTTTGTACATTGATATGTCCAGCAAATATTTGAATAACACGATAGTAATTTTTTTGACATATGTTAAATATTTGTAATATATTAACACTTTCATCAACCCTAGATATATCGAATTTCCGATGGATTATGATGGATATGAAAAAATTCAAATCAAACTCTTCGATCATATAAACTTATAGATAAACACTTCTTAAAAATTACTTTTACAACAACGCTACATTATTTTTAGTCCAATAAGAAAAATAAATCGATAAGAGAATGTTAGTAAATATACAAATTTGTTAAAATTTATTTCATTTCATTTAAAAAATGCTGCATGGAGTATAGTTCTCTTGGTTATCTGGTGGACTGTTTTCTTTTTATTATACATAAAAAGATTTTAAAATATTAGAAAAAACTAGTAAATTGTCGATACTTTCTAATAAAAAAATTTATAAAAATTTATAAATTTTACATAAATCATCCTATATAACAAACAATTCAAATTGCTTTTCACTGAAATTTTAGACAATTTTAGTCACGTGATTGAGAAACTCCAATGAAATTTTAATCAGTTTAACCTTAACTTTACCGCGTATTATGCATCTATAATCATGGCATCAATTGATTCAGTGTTAAAGAAAAGTTAAAAATAGTTGAATATATATTATTTTACATTCGTGTTCGTTTATAGTTCGATAAATAATTACTAGGAATAATTATACAAAATAATATAGCAACAGTTAGTAACAGTTAATAATAGTTTATTCAGTATTTCATACAGGTTAACTAGGATCAAACACGTGGTCTATTCTACAAAAATTATTTAATTTTATAACAGGTATTTACTTTATGATTTTATGTCAGGAAAAATAAATAAGTCACTGTAAATTAATGAATTATTTTGTTAATTGTTTAAAATAAATAAACAAATATTGTTTCTGTATATGTAGAATTTAAATTAAGAATATGATGTTTCATTTTATATTTTATTATTATCATATATTGTAATAGTATATGATACTTGTTAGTTTCAAAGAAAATGAAAAATAATAAAACATATTTCAAACAATTTTTTTTATTACAGACAACTAAAAATATGTCGTTTCGTAGCCGTGGTGGTGGAGGAGGATTTGGTAGAGGCGGTGGAGGATTTGGTAGAGGAGGTGGAGGATTTCGTGGAGGTAGAGGCGGACGTGGGGGAGGTGGAGACAGAGGTTCAAGAGGGTAATAATTTAAACATTTATATATATAAATCGTGTGTGATTCTTTATTTCTTCTATTAATCTATATAAATATATAGATTTGATCAAGGTCCTCCTGAAATGGTAACTCCACTAGGTCATTTTACATGGACTGTTCAAGATGATCTTGTTGCTAAAGTGGATATTGAACAAGTTCCCTTTTTTAATGCACCTATATATACAGAAAATAAACAACAAATAGGAAAAATAGATGAAATATTCGGTAATATTAGAGATTATTATGTATCAATAAGATTATCAGAAAACATTAAAGCATCCAGTTTTGTGAAGGATACTCCGGTAAGACTTTTTTGTTATGTATACTAATTAATAATTTATTTTTATTAAGATATATGTTATATTTCAGCTGTTCATAGATCCAGCAAAATTATTACCTTTGCAAAGGTTTTTACCAAAACCTCCAGGTGAAAAAAGAAAAGGTGGTGGTAGTGGACGTGGAATAAATAAAGGGTCTCGTGGACGTGGTGGTAGAGGTGGTGGGGGAGGAAGAGGTTCGTTTAGTAGAGGTGGTGGTGGTAGAGGAGGATTTAGAGGATCACGTGGTGGTGGTGGCGGATTTGGACGTGATTTTAATAGAGGACGTGGTAGAGGAAAATGGTAGATTGTAAGAGATTTTGATAAAGAGGCTGAAATAAAGACAGTATAACATTGATTTTGATATAAGAAATGTATTTGAATAATCTAAAAACAAACATACAAGAGCATTTAAAACTTTAAATATAATTATTATTCACATTCGATTTTATAATGTTTAACGAATACAGTACAGAGAAAAGTATTTAATGTATATTACAATACAAGGAATATTTTCATTTGTATGTACACGTGTTAATAATCTATATAAGAAAAAAAATTTATTAAACTTCATCAAATTTGATATGTTTCCCTAATTCTTTCTCTGCTTTTTTAAGAAGTTTACTTCTTCCCCTTTGCTTGACTCTGACTTTTTTACTCAATTTTTCTTCTCTATCTTGTAATATTTTGTTCCAGTATATACGTTCGTCTTCATCTGTAATGATTCAATATAATGGTATTTCATTGTAATAATTTATAATACATATTTAGATTTAGTTAAAAAATATTATAAGCTCACCTTTTAATATAATCATATTTTTTTCTTTATTAGATTTTTGAATAAAAAATTGAGCTGATTCTGATGTGTCACATCTAACATATACTTCATTAGCACTTTCTGACACATCTATATATTTTATATTGTTATTACCTTTCAGTTCCGCCTAAAAAATAGTGTTTTGTATAATTTAATTCAGTTTAACAGTGCTTTAATTTATTCATATATTTATGTATATGTACATGTTTCTATAGAAAAATAACTGTAGTCACGCAATTAACGTAATCATGTAAACAAATATCCAAACCTTTAAACTTCTTGGATCTGTGCACGGTTCATTTAATTCAATTTTTACTATTACTCCCGGTATAAAAGAGAGTCTTGGAGTCTTGTCTGTACCAGATATTTTCTCTTTTTCTTCAGTATCTTCTTTATCTGATTTTGTCCTATCATAGTTATACCACTGATTTCTTGTCTTCTTCAAATGTTGTTTCAATTGTTTCATTTTACTTCTTTGTAATTCTAAATATTTATTTCTTAAATATTTCCAATGTTTTTTAGCCATTATTTGCAATCCTATATTACTTATAGAATTATCATCAATTCTATTTTTTCTTTTACGTTTTCGTTTCTTTTTTTTTTCATCCACTACAGCTTCTTCAGTATTGGTATTATTAGTCATTTCAACATTTTCTATTATTATATTTTCTTTTTTAATAGTATTTTTTGAAATTTCATTAACGCTAATGTCATTTTCAGATTTTAATTTTTTAAACTTTTTCTTTGGTTTTTTGGATAGTTCATTCATTTCTTCGCTTCCTTCATTTAAATCCATTTTTTCTGATTCTTGTAAAATATTATCTTCATTGGAAAATTCATTTTCAGGTTCAATATCACACAAGTGGTTATTTGTAGTTTCATTTACATGTTTATTATTTTTTTTTGATCTTTTAGCTTCTGGTTCTGATACAATCATCTTATCTTTAACGTCAGTATCTGCATCAGTTATAGAAGAAGAGCTGTGCTTTCTTTTTATTACACTTTTCGAGTCATTGCAATTTTCTTCTATTTTAATGGATTCTTTTATTGCATATTGTTTATTTTCATCCAATTCACTTTCCATTTCAATATCAAACGTTTCTGGATTTGTAATTTTTACTTTTGAATTTATATCATTGGTCAAATTTGTTTCACTTTGTTTCATTTTTACCATTTTACCTTCCATTGTGACATCTTTTTCAACATCATCAAAAGTAGTAATACTTAAAAGTTCATCAGGATTTGTATGTGAAGGTAAAAGACAATCCATCTTTCTAAAAGCCTAAAAAATAAAGCATTTATATTATATTTATATTAGAATTTTGACATTATATATTTTATATTATTTACCTTAATGCATTTTTTAGCTTCTTCTGGTGTATCAAATTCCACAAAGGCAAAACCTTTTATTTTTTTATTAATCTTATAATGAGGTATGGAAACATATGCAACATTTCCATATTGAGAGAAAATTGAACTTAACCAATCATGATTTGCACCTGGTGGTAAATTTTGAACATACACTGTACAGTCTTCTGTATTTTCCTTTTGTTTGATAGGAGTTATGCGACAAACTTTTAAACCATCTTCAGAAATTGATAATATTGTTGATGCTTGAAGTGCTTTAGCTATTCTGTTTATATCTGTGGTTAATTCTCGGATTTTGTTAAATCTAGTGAAGATACTAAGGTCAACATCTATAAAAAAATAATATGTCATGTACAATATCAGCTGTCATGTTTAATCAAAGGGTTTTTAAATCTTACAATTTGGTTAACGATATTAAATAAAGTAAATTCTTACATGAATCTTCTTTAATAAGATTTCCTAAAAAACGATCTTTACTTAAATTAGCATCAGAAAAATAAAATTCCATTTGTTTAAGTATGGCTGCATGTAATGCCTTTTTCCTAAATCTTGGTTTGCTACGTGAAATACTTTTTATTCTATTGTTTGTTTCAACAGATGGCATTTCTATTTGTTTTTGCACTTGTGGTACTGGAATTTTTTCTGCTGCTAATTCCATGTCAGAATGCTGTTCTTCCATGACCATTTTAACTATAAACAATTAATCAGACATCAAAATGGAATATTTCAAATGTTATAGATTATTATTAAACATATTTTCTTCTAAATCTACAAATTTCTTAATCTAAAACACTTGGATGTTAACAAAATACCTTTCTTTATTTTTTCGCCTTTTATGTTGTTTCAGTATCTTAATAACACTCACCGACAATCAATTAATACTTTATATAGTTTAAATTTACTAACTCCTCTTGGTTTGAATTGCTTCACAAAATATTACAAGAAAGGGTATAGAAGTAGCAAAACAACTGTGAGTTTTTCCAAATTTCTCATGATCGAAGCGCTATATGGTAATACGCTTGCACGATAACTGTTTTATGAAACTATATAAAAGATGGCATCATTATCTCTTAAATGTGTGACACCACGTCGACAGAGAGCGTGGCAGTCATGCTACAAGAAATCTAGCAAGCCAATCAAAAAGCAGCATAGCGGTAACGCACGCTGTTGGCCTGAGTCTCAATTTAGCCAGTTAAGGCTATTCACTACAGTTTGTTCAATACGTTTGATTTCAGCGACAGGTATGGACAAAATATGAACTACGAAACAAGCGGGAAACATTGTTTCCACCGTGTGTTATCGTATCGGTATATAAGCTTGTTTGGTTATTCCTCCCTACATGTCTCCAACAATTGATTTCGTGTGAATAGTTAGTAGACTATGAATTCACACTTTTTAGTCTCTCATATGTATATTTTTTTTTGATGGTAGAGTACATCTCGCAGTAATTCATGCTAGATACGATACGTCGGTACGCATTTGTTTTACGATAAATGCATAGAAAATAATAAATATAATTGATACATAAGAATTAGTATATAAATCTGTGACAAAAGAATAAAAATGTGTCGAATATTCTCTTAAAAATAATTAGTAAATACTTATATTATTTTAATACAAATTAAAATATGAATTCATTTCCATACTACTTATGAAGTAGAATTTCTAGCGCTTTTTTTACGTTTCTCCTGTAAAATTACACCAGTCTATACTACTTCAATTATACTACTACTATTACTACTACTATTATTACTACTAATAATAATAATTTAATATAATATAATATAATATAATATAATATAATGTAATATAATAATAATAATAATAATAATAATAATAATAATAATGTACTTAAATATTATTTATATATATCTAGATATTATTTAAAATATTTTATATTATAATAGTAAAGACACTTTTTTAATATATTTTATTTTATAATGGTAAAAAAAAGCTTCGATTGATAGTAACAAGCAATGTGGAAACAAACATATAACGATCATAGGTTAGTAAGACAAACAGAAACGATAGCGAATGTTGATTGTTGACGAGAGCATTTTTAAAATGCACTTCTCGTATCGGACCAGCGATGACAGTCGATTCGCACGGAGAAAATGTCCACCGTCTCGTTCTTGTCCGAGCTATAGACCCACTGGTCGCGATGAATAAAGGGCGGCGGCACTAGGCTAGGATACCGTTGTAGGCTGTCAAGCAAAATACCGCTCGCCGCGTTCCCGCAAATTAATGGGCGAACGTGCGTTCTTTAAAGGATCCCGTAAGAAATGGAGAAGTAATTGTGATATGTAAATCTCAACGTGTATTTGATTGAATGAGTTACAATTGTTTGTGTCTCGTGTATGATGTGTAGTTAGCTGTCTGGTTGCTTCTGAAGGAAACTTGAAAGTTTAGATGTTGTGAGTCTGAAAGATGTGACTTGACTCCTTAGATGTTGCAAGTCTGAAAGATGTAATTTGACTGCCTTTTTGTCTATTTTAAACTATCTACGTAAACTTAAATGAGATTGGTAAAGGGCGTTGTTTGACCTATCGAAAAGGAAAGAATAAATGCCCATTGGTTGTGGTTAGTTCATTAGAATGTTTAAACATTTCATGTGTGCCCCTTTGTTCTAGTGCTCTTGAAGATTATAGGGTGTCAATGGATATTTCAAGGCAAGGTGCAGACAGCCCTTAACTTACCGAGTTTAGGCTTCTACTTTTACTGTTTATTTATTGGCCGGGTCAACACCCAGATACATCGAAACCCAGATACTTTACTAAGAATGCCTAAGCCCAGACAAAGGTGGCCATGTGTTTTTTATCTATGCGTTTTGTTTAGCTAATAGTCAATAAGTTCCCAAGGATAACTGTTTCCAATGGTGTTATATGATCCTTAAAAGAAAGTACCATGAACAATGGAGAGACGCACATGTACGTCAACAGCGAACAAAAACAAAAGAAAGTTTCGTACTTTCCTTTATATGTCGTTTGTATTAGGCGTATCTATCGATGCGGTTATGTGTCGAAATTATAAAGGACACGATTTGTTGAGAGTTCGCGCATCAAGCTACACGTAAAATGATACATTTTTCCTTCTTTTGTTATCATAAATTTTGTCATCATATGTGCCACGATGTATACAATATAAGTATATTCTTCTTTTTCTTCTTATTACTGTTTTTATTACTATATTATTACATTACATATCATTATTATAGTAATAGTAGTAATAGTAATAATATCAAGTGAACTCCCATAGAGG